TAAAGGTCGAAAAACAGTAAGAAATCAGCTTGACGTCGCAGGAGTGGTCTACAAGGTATCATGTGATTGTTTACAAGCGAAATCATATGTTGGAGAAACGGGACGGAAGCTCGAGATACGCCTAAAAGAACACGAGGCAGCGATTCGTCTAAAAAGACAAGAGTCACCATGGTATCAACATTGTGTTAATTATAATTGTAAAATTAATAGAGGTTCTGTAAGAATATTGTATAAAATGGAAAATTTGTTTAAAAGACGCGTGGTAGAACACCTTTGTATAATAGAACATGCAAATTTGTTGAATCAGAATGTCGGTCTAAACGTTGATGCATGCTGGGAAAAATTTATTTGTATAAAAGGTAACAAGTGTCTAGTTGTTGAATAATCCACTGAAGAGGCTGTAACGGCGAAATGCATTTGGAAAGTGATTTGAAAATTATGAAAATAAAAGAATTAACCTTGGTTAAAGTAAAGTATCTTTGTTGATTACACTTGTTCGCTGATATAAATCACTCGAAGTCGGTCTAGGAAAGAGTGTTTTAATTTACTCGTTTATTTTGTCTGAGAATAATTTTTATTTTTAGAAATATATTTTTAGAATAATATTCTCTTCTCTGTTGCAATTTGCCTGATATAGATAGGCTTTAACATATTATTGTACCATCATTCTCAAAGTTGTTTTAAAGTCACAACATTGAAATTTTTTAGATGTGGTTTTTTAGAAGAATTAAATTTGTATAAGAAACTGAAAATCGGGGATTGCTATACTTATATCTATTTCAATATTTTAGTGTTATTTGGAAAAATTAGTTGGGGTTATTCGAATTGCAATTTGTCAATTACAGTAAAACTCTATCCTCTGGCCTTTATCCGGATAATTGGATTTTTGCCTAGAATAGTCATATTTTTCCTATCCAAACACTGTTACGTATGTATGTACAGTACATAATTATGTCCAGATAAAATATTAAATACTGAAGTGTACAGTACCTACAAATGAATATAAGTTTATTTTCTACATTTCGAAAAAAAATACTTTTCATGCATATATAGTGCATTTACATACATACCTGTTTGTTTATAACAAAGTTTGAGAGAAATACGGATAATTGGAATTTTGTTGTAATTGTTTAAATACATTTTCGAGTTTCTTTACATCATTTTACCTCTAAAAAATTATCTAATAATATGAAAATAATTTTCAAAAAAAGATAATTTTGTTTTCCTGAATTTAATTTAATTGTAGAAATTCTTGAATTGATTATAAGTGAATTAGCATAAGTGTCAACATTTAAAGTGTTATCGCACTGTAAAAAGTGTAAATAATACCTATAGTATCAAATATTCTAATACAGTAGATCCCCCTATAACACGGGTTCATATAATACGGATTCCTATAACACGGCTAGAAAATTGCGATCGTATTCGTATAAACACGCTAAAAGAGACTCGTATAATACGGTAAAACGTCATCGCCGACTTGTGTCGCGACAGGATTGGACGAATCTAGACCAATAGCGAATATTGCACAAACCGTTCAGTTTAAACAAGCAGCGGGCCTACTAAAAACCATTTATTATTTAACGGCCATAAAAATTATATTTATATTAATGATGTCTCCAAAGTTCAGCGAATTTTTCGCAAAAAAATAACTTATCAGAAAACACGAGCCCGCCGTTCGATGCGATGCTCCGCGACGAAAACAACTTTAAGCAATGGCGTCGTCGAATGGTGCACACTCGGTAAGTAATCCTACAATTTTTTGTTTATAGCATAGTTTGTGGATTATTCCCAAAAAATTATACGTGTTTAGGAAATGTTGAGTCAAATTAGTCTAGAATCGATTAATTTTATGGAAGAGAACATTTCAAACAGCCGTAGTCCGTAAACTGCACACGTGCCGGGCTGTGGTTGGCTCATGTATTTAAGCGACTTGTAAAACACGGAATTCATATCAAACGGAATGTATCTACCGTGTTATAGGGGTCTACTGTAATAATAAGTTGACAAAACTGTGTCAAACAGCCGGTTAGCTCGGGGATGCCTCTTTGGGGAGACAGAAGGATTCATGATTGCCATACAGGATCAGATCATAAATACTAAACACTACAGAAAACACATACTGAAAGATACAACACTCGTAAATAACAAATGCAGAAACTATACAACACATTACTTCTGGTTGCAAGCTCTTGGCACAGACAGATTACACAAACATAATCAAGTAGCAAATATAATACACCAAGAGCTTGCAAACAAACAAATTATTAGGCATCCACGAACCATACTACAAATACATTCCACAGACAGTATTGGAAAACAACACGCACAAAATGTACTCGACAGGGCCATAATCACTGATAAAACAATTTACCACAACAGACCAGACATCACACTCATTGACAAACACAATAAAATCACATATATTATAGACATATCCATTCCAAATACTCACAATGTACAAAACACAATCATTGAAAAAATCAGCAAGTACATGGAACTGTCCAGGAAATAAGGCATAGATACGGTGCTTAATGTAGGCTACCTGTTGTTCTCTTCTCTACAGATGTCATACCACACACACACTACACAAAAGCCTGGGAACATTACAATTGAAAAGAAACACATACATCACACTACAGAAGGCCACTATATTGAATACATGTCATATTGTTAGGAAATTCCTGAATACAGACACACACACACTGACACACTTATTTAATTTTTGTCTTGTTCTGGTTGCTATGCCTTACTCTAGTCTGGTATAGTATACAGCCACTGATGTCAGCCGAGTATAACCCACTAAACCCACCATAATAATAATAATAAATTTTATACAAATAAAAATACCTATTTTGCCCTTGACGTTTTACACAAATTGAAAACAAAATAAATTTTTGCAATAGATTAAATATACAGCAGTAGAATAAATCAAACACAAAGTGTACAACTGTTTTATAACTCGAAATAATTTCAAATCGTTTTATTAGTACAGTACATATCGGTACTATGAATGAAACATTTTCAATAACAAAATAAAATTTGGTTCTTTACTCATTTTGCATTCATATTAAGACATAAAATTTAAATGTAATTAAACAAAAACATTTAATATGAAATTGTGAGAACTAAGTTTGGCTCTAAGGAAGGCTTATCACACATTATTGACGCAGTCGGAGTAATTACACAGAAGTCGGTAGACACAGGTTTATCTCAGTGCTCATAGTTTCATATTGTAACATAAGGACAAAAAGCAATTCACGAAATCTATTTAATATAAATTATCTAAATGTGTACATTTAGATAATTTATTTTAATTTATAATAATTTATATTAAATCAGTAACAGGAAACAATAGTGGACCTGGCTGCGAATTATTATTATTATTTTTTTTTTTTACAACTCCATATCTGATCTCTACGTTATCCGAATAGGCGGAGTTTACAACACGACGCAACAAGTAAGAGACAGAGCATGTTCGTTTCGTTTGTAATTTGAATTAAGGCTCCAAAAAGGAAAAAGAAGTTAGAAATTACATTTCAGTGATTTTGTTACATATATGTGCAGTATTTAAAAGCGTACAAAATCACTTAGTTCACACACTTCCTATCGATCAAATTTTCAAATTAAACCTTACGAACTCTAGATGTACTGAATACTACAAAGATTTGAATATACTGTATTTCAATTCTCGAATTATTATTACCAGTAATAGTGATGTGCACTCTGTAGGATTTTCGATCCTATAGAGTATATATTAACTGAGATTTAGATTTTAAAAATTCTTATCGAGTTGTTTCAAATTACAAAATATAAGCACATCTGAAATTCGAAAGTGTCTGATCAATTTTTAACAGCCCACAGCCCACCAGTGGCCAAGCGTTCTTCGTACCCTGTACACTGGGAGTTCGATCACGTATTCGCGCCTCGCTTGGACGGGCTGGCCACGTGGAGTTTTCCGGGTTTTCTCTACGTCTGTAGCTCCTAAATAGGGGCCAGTTTCCCTTAAAAATATCTCCCCGGAATGCATCCTCCTAGGCCAGGGATGGCCAACAGTTTTTGCCCCCGGGCCGGATTGGAAAGAAAACTTTTTCCACGGGCCGAACCAGAGGCTGCCCTAGGAAGATTTTGAGGTGGTGCGAGATCTCATTGTTGTGTCACTCCGTAGAGACTGAATTGTAGATAGAGATTACAAATACATTTTTCACACTATCATGCTTTATCAACACTCTACGCTGTACTCAAGAGATTTGTAATGAAGGATTAACTCTAAACGCACAGTGACTTGTTGACGTTATTTTATTTTATTTTATTTTATTTTTTGGCATCAGAATTTTTCATCGAGCTATTCGGACTTCAATATCTAATATTGAAAGATTGATCGCGGGCCATATAAATTCATTAGACGGGCCGGGTCTGGCCCACGGGACGTATGTTGGCCATGCCTGCCCTAAGCAGATCGCCCAAGTGTTGCGTTGCCATAACTTAACAAACAAACAATTTTTAATATTTAGTTAATTAGATGTGACTTGCTAATGTAACTTTGAGTAGCAAGATTTTAAAATTTGTGTAAGTACAGTACATTTATTGATATTTAAATACAGACGGCTGAATGGCCGAGCGGTCAAGGTGGCAGCCTACCGCTCTGGGAGAACCGAGGTCGAAAAATCTTCAGGAATTTTTCGGAAGTGGCCCGTCCGGATATGTGGGCCTCGACCCTCACAATCCGACGCTCCATTGTGGGCCTGACTGAATCCATAATGGGCTTGCAAAAAGAGGCCCTTTTAATGCTCACAGGGCGGAAAGAGTTAAATTAAATTTAAAAAAAAAGGCTATTTAAATACATATCGTTTGTATTAAGGTATAGAAAGTTATAAATAAAATAATTATTTTTTTATATAATTAGCATAAATGAAATATATCATAATTTAAAATTCTTATTATTATTTATTTTGTCAAGAGTGCAAGAATTTGATGTTAGTTGTCTGGCAACACTTTCACTAACTCCATTGATTACACGTGAATTTGTAATGGTTGGCTTGATTCTGAAGTAGAAACGATTCCACGTGTGGATCTGTTGTCGTAGTTGGTAATCTTTATATTAATGAATGATGCTATCAATAAAATTAATTTCCCGTTAAATAATTGGATACCAACCAACTTCTACGTAAACTTTCAAAGAAGAAAAAATGATTTCGTGAAAATGACATACAAGTGAAATATTTGTCAGGAAATTAAGTGTTATATCATGGATTCGGATCGTAGACCCCAGTTTGGGAATAGATTTTTGGAAAATCCTGAAGAAGTATTTCAACATAATGCTTGGTAAGATAATTGTTTATAAGCCATACACCGTTTTCTCTCTCAATTTTATTTACAATAGAGACATACATGCTAGATATGTTCAAAATACATAGAATATTTGAGGGCCACTCATTTAAAAAAACACTATAAACGAAAAAGCCATATGGGAGCTCAGCATGTGATTAACAACATAAAATGTATAACAGAATGAATAACATTGACATATAATAGAATGAATTCTAAAGCTTTTGAAGTAATTCAATTCAATATATATTCTCGTACAATTCTAGCTTGCTAATTCATAGCAAACATTTAGTGGTATCAGAAAGTTTGCCCAGATCTAATTACTGATAGAGCATGTTTAGTTTTTGACTATGTTCAATTTGTTTTTTTTTTTTTTTTATCACACTTAAGCATTTGTGTTGTACAAATAACTGATAGCAATTATAAATTATTAAAATTAAGAGAACCATATAAAATTTTGTCAGATTTGATACTAACGATAAGTCTTCAAAATATTAGAATTCTGAAAGTTGAACAAGATTTATGTTTCGTATTGGAAAAATTGAAGTTGCTATTTGAATGCTTTATCAAAAAATATTATGAATATGAAAATTTAGCATATTAGAATTTTGCATATTCAAGAAAATCCATTGTTTCTTTGAAAAACCTGAAAATAAATAAATATCTAGTAATTTATAGGTTAAATAGTTTAATTTAAATATATTACACTTATGAAATATAATGTAATTTAAATGAAAAAATAAAATATTTTAAATTCAGGGATAATGTACAATGGGATGAAGCTCAAGAACAAGAAGCAAAAGAAAAAGTTTTGAAAAACTCTGCTACATATGTTTCTAAGGAGATGCAAGGTATTTTTTAAAATTTGAACACATATTATGTCTTTCAATATGTCTTTTTTTAGATAAAAGTTTGTAATATTAATTAACAATAAAATTATTTATAGTGAAATTGACTGCAGATTTTATGTGCTTGAGCTATTTCATTTAAAGTCAAGCACATCAAATCTTCAGTCAATTTCACTTTGAAAAGAGAAAAAATTTGCATTATAATTGAAAGCATTTTAACAGGAAATATTCTAAATTACATGTAAATAAACTAAAGTGCCAAAAAATTAGAGACACTTATCTAATAATGTATAGCTCCTCCCTAATCCTGAATAACAGTGGCTACACAATGTGGCATAGACTCCATGACAATGTTTCCCAACCTTTTTTGTGCTATGCCCCATCTAAGCCTTTCTAAAATTCTTATGCCCCCCTAACATATACAGTGGTTATACTGTTAACTTAAACTCTGAATGAGTCCATTTTCGAATTGCCCCCTTAACAATCCAACTGCCCCCTGTGAGGCGTGGGCCCCACATTGGAAAACACTGCTCTACGAGGTGTCTGAGTTGATGTTCAATGGTTCTCCATAATTCAGTTGTATTTGTTGGATAGTTCTGCAAAGCATTGAGTAATGTTTGCACATTGTCCCATAAATACTCTATGGAATTTAAATCTGCTGACTGAGACGGCCAAGGAAGTAGCTGAAAATCAGTCAAGTATTCTCAAACCATTGTTGTACCACTCTTGCCCTGTTGGGAATAGCATTATCCTGCTGGTACAAACCATTACTGTTGGGGAACATAGCAAGCATAAACATGTGAAAAATATCTGTCACAAGATTAGCATACATTGCAACTGTCAAAGTTAACTGCATTCTCAGCATTAGTCCCAATTCATGTCAGGACAGAGCTACCAGAAACAGCTTGCACAACACTATACTGTCATGATGGATTTATAGCTTCATGTGGTTGTCACCACACATGAACATGACTATCAGCTTGAAACAGCTGAAAACAAAATTCATCTGATCACATAACACTGTGCCAGTCCAACTTTGATGTTCTTTGGCCCAGGGGAGGTACATTGCCTGATGCCTGGGTATTAGTAGTGATGCCAGAGTGGGTTGGTGACTAACAAACTCCAAGGAATGCAGTGTATGTTGTACAGTGTGTTGCAGTGATGGGTTCAGCAATGCTCCTGTTGAAGTCTGATGTGATTTAAGTTACCTTTTGTTGTATGGTTACTAATCTGGTTAGTGTTTGGCAGTCATGTTCTTACATCAGCCATGGGCACCCACATTGTGCATGTGCTGCTGATGTCTATCTGGGATTTAAGTACTCTTGGTAAACCCTTGAAACTGTTGCACAAGAAAATCCAAAAGCAATTGGCCACCTTGCTTATCGAGTGACCTATTCTTCTTGCTTCAACAATCTGTCCATGACAAATGACAATAAATCCTTTACATAGTCCATTGCTACTCTAACCAAGCTCACACATAACCGATAAGTATCATACCTATGATATCAAATGCAAATGTTTCAGCTCAAAACATTTTCCATATGGGTAGAAGATAACAACATTGCATGTGCTGTTGTGTCTAATTTTTTGGCACTTCAGTTTATATTTGTTTAGAATTATTTTCTACTTATTAATTTTCTGATGTATTCTCTGCATGTGAGGATACAATATGAATAATTTAAATTTCATTTCTTTGATATGATGTGTTACTCCAAAATGTGTCAATGATCATTAAAAGTGCAGTGTGTCCCAAAATAATATTGAAAATAAAAGTTATATCCACTATCTGTTAGCTAATACAGACTAATCAGACAAGGACAAGGTTTATTTGCTGTTATTTACATCAAAGATACATTTTGGTTAATGCCCTCGTCAGTTTGACTTAGACAATGTCTTCCAAAACACCACATCAAATTTCAGTGATAGAATATAAAGATTTAAATCAAAAATTTTTTCCTCATTTTTCTTAAGTAACTTGGATGTAATTGGTGTGCTGCTTATTGTAAAGTAAAATTGATTATTAGAATGATATTGCTTGCTTTAAGGCAGGGGTGTCCAACCTTTTTGTTTCTCTGGACTGCATTGGAAGAAGTCAAGGAGTTTTGGGCCACAAGTATATCTATATATATAAAACTCAAAGGTGACTGACATAGTGATCTATCAACGCACAGCCCAAACCACTGGACGGATTCGGGCTGAAATTTGGCATGCAGGTAGATGTTATGACGTAGGCATCCGCTAATAAAGGATTTTGATCAATTCTACCCCCAAGGGGATAAAATAGGGGATGAAAGTTTGTATGAAACTTTGTAAATTTTAAACCGATCGGGCTGAGACTTTGCATGCATAAAGCTACTATGACGTAGGCATCCTCTAAGAAAGGATTTTGATAAATTCCACCCCTAAGGGGATAAAATAGGGGATGAAAGTTTGTATAAATCATCTTAGATTTTCGACTGATTGAACTGAAATTAAAGATTGGAGCTACTATGATGAAGACGTCCGCTTAAATAGGATTTTGATAAATTCAACCCCCATGGGG